TCTACCCATTTGCATTTTATCCTCACTCTTCATTTGTTTCTTACATGAGTTATGACTTTAAAAAAGGTTTTGTATGTCCTCATAAGTTAAATCTAAAGGTTAAATCTTTGATTTAAAAACTCTGCAGATGTAATTCTTTTTGTGGTTTTTTGTTTTATGTGTTTTGATTTTCAATACTATGGTTTAATTAGTTTGATTGATTGTTATTATTGTGCCAAATTTGATGCAGGGAGGGGAACTCTGTTCTTTGCGATATGACTTGACTGTTCCGTTCGCTCGACATGTGGCAATGAATAGTCTTACATCATTCAAAAGATACCAAATAGCAAAAGTTTACAGAAGGGACAACCCATCTAAGGGAAGATATCGTGAATTTTATCAATGTGATTTTGACATTGCTGGCCAGTTTGAGAAGATGGGGCCTGATTTTGAGGTGGTTAAAATATTGACTGAGCTTCTTGACGAATTGAACATTGGAGAGTATGAGGTATGTAAATTTAAAGTAGGTTCCAATAGTTTATCACTGTTGTTCAGAACCATTTGTGTTTGATCTATGAATCCAACATACTTATCTCTGTTAAATGACTTTTTTTTTACACGATGTTAAATTTGAGTTAACCTCTAAAAGTAAATTTATATTGATCTAACATATTTGATTCTTAATGGTGTCCTCTACTGAACTATGTCTCCAGGTAAAGTTGAATCATCGCAAGTTGCTTGATGGAATGTTAGATATTTGTGGAGTTCCTCCTGAAAAGTTTAGAACAATCTGCTCTAGCATTGACAAGATGGACAAACAGTCATTTGAGCAAGTGAAAAAGGAGATGGTGAGACTTGTTCCTCTCTCTATATCTCTCTCTTTTACTGAGGGTTTTGAAAAGTCTTTAGTCATCGTTACAATTTGTTATTAAAAAAAAAAAATCATTGTTGCATATTACCTATGGCTTAATATGTGCTTTTCCTTTATTTCCAAATATATATATATATATATATATAGGGTTGAGATCCAATGAGAAGGATCTTATAATGAGAAGGGTGAGAAGGAATCTTGACCGTACAAATAAATCCAACGATTCACATTTCACATGTGCAAATGCACATTTAGTACAATTATTATGCACATTTAATTTCAAAAATTATGCACGTTTAACTCAAAAATTATGCACATTTATTTTTCACTTTCATTTCCTTGTTGTTTATCGCAGACAAACTCTCTTTAACTCTCTTCTTAATTAAAACATATTTAGAGTTCTAACTTTTGATTTAGAGATGATTGAGAAAGAAATTATGGTCATGAAAGACGTACTTGCAACCCCAATAATAAGGATTCACTGACCTTAGTTTAGATCATGAATTGATTCGTCTGAAGTATATTATTGAACAATATGCACATTTAATTTAAAAGATATGCCCCTTTAGTACAAAATACTTGCACATTTAACTCAATAAATATGCACATACCATCATTATATAAATGCACAATCTTTACAAGAATAATGCATGTTTATTTTTAAAATTATGCAATTGAGATATGTTTGGTTCGTAAACAGGATCATGCTAATTTGAGTCAGTCAATCAAACACATGCTTATAGATTCGACTGAGTTTACCAACTTGTATTTATTTTTTTTTGTTCAACAACTTGCATTATCAAATAATAATTTACTCAGAAGTTCAAAGGTTTGAGGGAAGGGATTGAATTTTAGATGGGAGTAAGAAAGAAGAGAGAGAGAGAGAGAGAGAAAAGGTGGGGAAAAAGATGACCACGGAGGAAAGAGATTGGATTTTTCTTGAACAAAAATGTGGAAGATTGATGAATATGGAAGAAAGAGAGGAAGAAGTACACGGGAAAGAAAGAAAATTGGGAAAAAGAATTTTTATTATTATTTACAGTTTTGCCATTAATGAGACATGTGATCAGAGCCATTAGATCATTTGATTTGAACGAATGAGATTCCTTCTCATTCTTCTCATTATAAGAACCTTCTCATTTGACCCTAAATCTATATGTTGTGGACTAATTTACTGTAATTATAATTAATTGTAATAAACAGAGAATTAAGGTTGAACGCTTGAGTATTGATTCATTGATGATCGAATTACAAGGTGATAAGCATAACTTGAGGTTATGAATCTCACAGTAGCTTTAGGCTACAAGTCTCTCATGTGTTTTCTCTAATTTTCTGGATGATCTCTGCTAATACTACAACACAATACTTATACTCAAGACTTAGATAATACATGTGATTTTAATTAACCAAAATGAAAACCCATAATACTAATGTTTAAAGAGAGCTTGTTTTCTTTCCTTCACTTCCCTTTAATTAGCCTTGTCCTGTTGCTCATTGTTTCCTTCCACAATTGATCTTTGCTGTCCCTGTTTTGCGCGCCTGGAATACACCAAAAGTGGTGGCCGACTTGGGTCCTTGGAGCCGTTGACCCCGTTAACCCGTTCCATTACACTATATATATATATTTGCTTTGTCCTCTAGAGTCTAGACGCTATATTTTGGTTGTTGATGAACTGTTTTAACTTATGCAGGTTGAGGAAAAGGGTTTACTTGAAGAGACAGCTGATATGATAGGTAATTTTGTGAAAGAAAAGGGGTCTCCTCTGGAGCTACTATTGAAGCTTAAACAAGAAGGAAGCGATTTTCTGAAACATGAAGGAGCAGCCCTTGCATTGGATGAATTGGAACTGTTATTCAAACTTTTGGAAAAATCGAAGTGTGTAGATAAAATCGTTTTCGATTTAAGTCTTGCAAGAGGTCTTGATTACTATACTGGGGTGATATTTGAAGCTGTCTTTAAAGGAACCACACAGGTGAAAATTTTACTCAATTTTGTGAACCCTTCCTCATTATATATTTTACATGTGTGTGTTGTCTATTTGTCTTTACTTGAAATCCATAGTGATGAGTATAAAAGTTACTTTCTTTCCTATTGTTTTGTCATTATGGCCTTCTCTGTTTATAACTAATTGGCAACAGTAACTCGCTGTTTCTCACTACATAGCTTCCACCTGCCTCCGTAGCCCACAAAAAAAATATATACTCTGTATCGTGGATTTGTGGTGTGATTGAGTAAAAATTTATAACATATTTCAGAGTAATTCAAATTTATGGTTTTTGATCCTTTTTTATATATATTTGGCAAGTTATTCCACATTCCTGATTAATGATCAATATGAGTCACCACCCATTTGTCCTGCCAGGTTGGATCCATTGCTGCTGGTGGACGCTACGACAATCTTATTGGGATGTTTGGTTCAAAGCAGGTTCCTTCAGTTGGTGGTAGTCTGGGAATAGAACGTGTATTTGCAATCATGGAGCAAAACCAGAAAGATCAAAACCAGGTAATTTGAAATTAATACCTTAAATTCAACTTGTTTGATTCATGCTATTCTTTGAACTGAATGGTAAAACTGTCGCTGCCATTCATGATATGTGGGTAATTGATGTATCCTTTTGCTTTGCATTCTTCTGTTACAATATTTTTATATTTGGCCAGCCCCTAGGGGTGGAACGGAGGTTGAGTTGGGAGGATGGAAATAAAGTACTCTTTACTTTTTTTGCCCTTTTGCTTCAAGCAGCTCTGGTAACAGAGCCCTTTTCCTCGGAGGCTTTGGTATGGACGTATAGTATCCATATTCCATGTAGCTATGGTTATGTTAAATTTAATAATTTATTTGTAACTGAGTTTTATCTTTCCCACTATGCAGTAGTGTTGATGTAATTTGCCCCCCCCCCCCCCCCACCAAAAAAAAAAAAAAAAAAAAAAAAAAGAAGAAGAAAGTGTTGATGTAGTGGCGTACTGCATAGTTGAACCAGAATGCCTCCTGGCCATTTGATATTGTTTAGATTATCCTTTAGTAAAAACCTTCAGATATAAGCTCTTTTGCTAGGGTTTCCTTCCGTGGATGAAGAAGATGGGAAGAGCATTGGGGTAGATGTAGTGTATTTTTGGTCTTTTGACTCTTTTGTGCTTTTGCTGGGAATATGTTGGTATATATTGTTGCTTTGATTCTATTGTTGAATGTGCATTCATGAAATAATTTTTGGTAAAACAATTTTCAATACCAACTGTTTCCGGATTTGATGTACTGCATATGGCAGGTAGTACGCGCTAATGAAACCCAAGTTTTAGTGGGTGTAGTGTCACGACCTGGCAAAAGTGTTGAAGATGACTTGATTTTAGCTGTTGAATTGGTTAATGAACTGTGGTTAGCGAAAATAAAAGCAGAATATGTAACTGTCAAAAAGGTTTTCAAAATCTTTGAGCGTGCAGAATCATCAGGGATTCCTTTTGCCGTTATGGTTGGAGTGCGTGATCTGAAAGAAGGAATTGTGAAATTGAGGGATGTGAAGGCCAAGACTGAGGAAGAAATTCCTGTGGATAAAATGGTTGAGGTGCTTCAGAAACGATTAGACACCTCATCTTGAACATCAGGAGCAGCATAGTTCAGTAGAAATTGTGGTCCACTTTATCAAAGAATTTTGGGATTACTAATTATTCATACGTCAATGATTAATGTGAATCATAGACATGTAAACTTTCATTTTGTACCGATCTTGGAACTTTCTTGATTTCTTCAATCTGTTCATTTGCGTGCTTAAAAGCTTAAAAATATGGTTTGTATAAGATTCACCCACGACCTTAAGTTTTGAAAGTATAGGGTTAGCCATTAAGCTATTACCATCTTATATGTCATTTCATTAAAATTAAATATAAATAAAGATTTCAGTCATGAAATTAAAGGCGTAACTTGGGGCATTGCTCGGCCTAAAAAAGAGTTGCATTTAAATGTTAATTATTTGCATTTATCAAAATGGGTTAAAAAGAAAATAAATGAGAAAATTCAAGTTTATCTCCTCGATAAACATAAATGGTTTATCCGGGGGTATTCTCGTCAATTCGCGTATCTGAGTAAGGGTATACAAGTCAAGTGCGCAGAAATATGTTAACAGCCGTTATGTTGGATAACTTGACTCGAGTTAACTTCTGTTAACCAAAAAGTAACTGGGGTAAACTCACCTTTACTGTTAACCAACTAGTAACTCGAAGGATAGTGGCGATTTTGAAGGCGAAGGAGACTGGCGATTTTGAAGAAGGTGGTGATGAAGAGGGGGGTTTCATATTAAGGGGTTAAGACGTTGGTATCGGGCAAGTAGGCTTAGCGTTTACGGTTTCAGCGTTGTCCCTGATAGGCGATTTACTATTACGAAGACGGTGAAGACGGTTGTAGCGCGAATAGCGGTGGCGGTGGCGCGATAAGCGTATACGAATACGGCGGTGGCCCAAACAGTTCTTAATTTGACAGGTAACATTACTGCTTGTGCGGATGTTTGTTGGAATGCAGATTAATTAATTTTTATACTTTTGTTTTAGGGTTTGTTTTAATTATTCATGTTCATGTTTGGCGTTACAAATTGCCATACAATCAATAATTCCTCGTTCATATTTGTTTTAATTACTCATTCATATTGCCATTCAATAACCAATTCCTCCATTCCTCCAATTTGGTATATCAGAAATAGGTTATTTGTCAACTGTAAGGAATAATAGTCACTCGTATTGCCGCGTTCTATTATTATTTTAAAATCATACAAAACCGTAGCTAATCTGTTCGTTTGTTACAATTATTAATATTTATGATTGATAAATATTATGTGTACTGTAAGAAATATCAATCATGGAATTGTGTATCATTTTTTTCATATATTTATCATTGCCATGTGCCATTCTATCAATCATTTTAGAAGAATTTCATCAAAAATCAGTGATTGGATTAATATTAGTTGGCTGACCTGCAGATTGATTTTATTATGGGGAGTAAGCGCGACCGAAATCCATGTAATTATGTATCTGATTTGGATACGGTGAGTTGGAAGCAAAGTTTTTTGATAAAGGTAAATGTTTAAAAAAATGTAAAATAAGTGTTTTGATAATACATGATTTATGTAGGATGATGGTGGCAATTCTCAATACAGGCTTAAGAAAAAACAGGTTGTTCCTGCAATTTTCAAGGTAACTTTAATATTGTAAAGTGGGCTTGATAATATTGTGTGTTTGTGTAATTGGATACTCATTTGTTGTCCTGTTTAATAGGATAATTGTATGACTGTTGGTGGTAAAGTGAAGGCCCAGAGGCTTGTGTTGAAGGAACATGAGAGGAGAAGCTCTCGGGTAAGACGTGTATAATTGTTTGATGGTAGAGTAACAACGTTTTGATTCTCCTCTACTAAGATTTGACTCCCCTGTTCATGAAAGCCGCCTAATTTGACGTGTCGGATTGAATCTTTTACAAGGATCTGTCAAACATTTGATGAGAGGACAACTAAATGGGTGAAGGAGATGGGATTTGGAGGCCTTCTTCATTTACCGTCTGATTTGCACTTCCGAGGAAACTTAGGTATTGGCCATTGAGCCGCATTGATCCAATAAGTCGAAAATTGATAGGCAGTGATGGAAAAGAGTTCAAATTTTCAAACAACCAAGTCCATTGGGTTCTTGGAATTCCGAATGGAGGACTTCCTGTGCCCACCAAGAAATCATTGAGCACAAAAATGCGTGCAAAGACCTATGAGATCTTGGGAAAGTATGGCAAAACATGGGAGGGTAAATCAAGAAACTTTCTTGGCCGCACGTATACGTCTACAGGGATTCCTATCAATTCTAGCATGATGGATAGGTTGGAGGGTTATTGGGAGGCACATGACAAAGAAGAGTTTAAGACCCTGTTTCTATTGATAGTATTGCAAATGCTTCTATGTCCTACTCAGTCGCCACGATTAGCTGCTGACCTTGTTCCCGCCTTGACCTGTGCTTCAGATTGTCAGAATTTTGATTGGTGTGAACTTGTGCTGGGTAGATTGATGCAGAGTGTCGTGAGTTTTGCTAGGGCGTTTTATGCATCTGGCTTTGCAAAGGGTTGTGGTGGTTGTACCATTTTCTTAGTGGTAATTATTGACATTTTGTTGTTTGGTTTGATGATGATTTACTTAATTACTCTGTAACTTACGTCTACTATAGATTTTCTACTTGGACAGGCTAAATAGAGATCTGGTGTCATGGGGAAGTTTTCCCCGTATTAAGGTTTGGAATATGCAGCACATTAGAGGTGCTGCTAAGGAAGACAAAATTACAGCTACTGGAGATTTTGGACACCTTGGGGTAAGGACCTTTTAATATGTGATAAATGATTTTTGAGTTTAATAATCTCATCATCTAATACTTGGACAATGATGCAGATGTTAGACGTTGCGTATGGTGAGCAGCACCCTGATATGGCTAGGGATAGTAATGGCCCAGTTGACATTGCCAAGGTATATCTCAAGACCATGTACTTATGTAGTGGCAAATGGCTTTATACGATTTGATTTGAATTTAATTTGGTATACAGGTTGTAGAGGAATTTGGGAGTAGGCGTACGACAACTTTGAAAAAGTGGAGGACAGCGAGAAAGGATAGAAAACCATTTGTTCGTAATGATATAAATGGAACGATGAAGTTTTCTGCAAACCCTTGGAGGTGCAATAATGGTTCAAACTCTCAATTTTTTAGGCCATCTGTTTCACCATTGTTACCGGTGTGCAAGTTATTACTATTTTTTTAAACAACTCAAAACCGCAATGGTCTTTTCCTTTGCAATTCACGACCTTCACTCGGAAAACGCCAAGCAGCTATTGCTCTGCCCTGTTTATTTCACTGCAAATGTGTCAGATAATTGTCCTTCAATCAGGGATGCCATGTTTGACTTGGAAGGCAATAAACAGTTTGGTAATATAACTTAATCTTGAAGCAGTTCGTGTATTTTTTGTTAGTTTTTCTACTTACACATTTCATAATTTGTCATCAAAATCATTGTTGTCACAGCTAGGTGAATTGCGTGGCATGCTGAATGTTGGAATATTAGGGTCCATTTCAATCAAGCTTGGATGGAGTGTGAAGGTACTCAATAACAACCATATCCTTAAACAACCGTAGATGAAATAACAGTTATGGAATTTCAAAGAGATCGTCAGCCGATATGTAAGACACATATACGAATTGTCAGTGTTCTTACTGTGTTGTAATATTTATGCATTTCCATTGCAAAATCTCAATTTCGGTTCATTGTAAAACAGTATTGTATGAACAATTGAATGCGATATGTTTTACTCAAATATTTTTTAATGCACTGAGACCTCAAGAAATGTCGGCCCAGTTGCAGTTGTTCAAATGGGCCTATATGAAATCTTGTTTACAAATTTTTGCCTAGACTCTAGGGTAGCCAGCTTCTCCTACACCCCCATGCTACTACGTCGTTTTATATTGAACCATTCTGCCATTTTTTTTTCTTCATCTTTTTCATTTTTGTTAACTTTCTATTCAAGCAACTATATAATGATTTTCTTAACCTAATTTCCATTTTATTTATCTCATATTTTACTTATTTCATTTTCTCTCTCCTGCATTTTTTATTTTTCCCCCAATTTTTCTCTCTTCTTCCATGGAAATTTCTAGCTCAATTGCGTTTGATCGTGACAGTGATTCTAGCTTAATTGCTTTTGATCGTGATTGTGATTCTATTTTTCCTGTTGGAGTTGGTTTAGTCGACTCGTTTTCGAAACAATGTGAGTAATTTTTTCCTCAATCATTCGATTTTGATTATGCTCTGTTTTTCGCGTGTAATAGTTCGATTTTGATTTTTGATTTCATAGTTTTGCTAATTGTATGAACTATAGTTTATATAATGCTCAATTATAATTTTTGATTTTATTGTTTAGCTAATTGTTATTGCTTATTGTATGAATTAAGACCAAAATTATGGTCGATTATAATTTTTGATTTCATTTTTATTTATGATATTTTTAATTTATAGTTTGTGATGTATTGTTGTGATTTTATTGTTTTTCTTTGTAATGTTGTTATTCGATTGATGTTTTTTCCAGTTTTCTGCATTTTAATGATTGTCTATAGTTTTATAAAATTTGACATTCAATTAATGCTCATGTATGTTAGATTATATGTACATTTACGTTAACATAGGTGTAATTACTGTAATTTACATTTATCTGTGTAATCATAAATGTTCATTTATATGTTTTATTATCATTTTGATATATGTTCATTTATGTAATGATAAATGATCATTAACAGTTTACATGTGGTTATTGTACATTATTGCTATTATTTGTGTTCATTTGTTACATTTTAATATTGCAGTGGAAAAAAAGAATGCTATTTTATTCGAGGAAGCAGCTAGTTCTGAATTTTATGGGAAACAATTTCCTTCTGAAGATGTGGCTTATGAAATGTTTAATGAATATGCATTTAGAAAGGGCTTTGGAATTAGAATTGGAAAAAGTAAGAGGCGAAGAGATGATTCATTCTCTATGAAAAGATTTGTTTGTACAAATGAGGGTTTTAAAGATGATAAGTGCAGAAATAATAGGCTGTATGAGAGACTTAACATAACGACTGGTTGCTTAGCTTTTGTGCAGTTTAGTATTGACCGTTCAGGTGTATATACATGTACAAGACATGAGATGGTTCATAATCATGAAATGATTCCTGTTGACAAGAGACATTTAATAAGGTCTCAAAGGGATATTTCTAAGGAACATATTAATTTCATTTCTACACTTAGATTGAGTGGAGTTAAAGTTTCTGATTCTTTGAGACCTTTGAAGAAGGAGGTTGGAGGGTCTCCTAACCTTTGTTTTACAGCTCCTGATGCTTATAATGCTATTTCTGTTGAAAAGACAGCTAAACTTGGGGGAGGTGACAGCAATCAACTAATCAAATTTTTTGCTAAGAGACAAATTGATGAAGCAGATTTCTATTATGATTTTGAACAAGATGAAAATGGTGCATTGGTTAATTTCTTTTGGAGAGATGGAAGGATGATGAGAGATTATCATTACTTTGGTGATTTGTTAGTTTTTGATACTACTTATAGGACTAACAAATATGGTATGATTTGTGCTCCATTTGTGGGTATGAATCATCATGCAAATAATGTGATGTTTGGCATGGGATTTATACTTAATGAAAGAACAGAATCATTTGAGTGGTTATTTGATACTTTTCTAACTTCTATGGGAAGGAGAAGTCCTATTACTATTATGACTGATCAAGCTCAAGCAATTGCAGCTGGGATAAGAAATATTTTCCCCAAAGGTGTTCATCATAGATTATGTGTGTGGCATATTGAACAAAATTCTAAGAAACATATTGGGGCGTTGAGAGCTTTGGATGGTTTCACTGATTTATTTGGTTATTTACTGAAGTATTGTGAAACTCCACCAGAATTTGAGCATTATTGGAAAAGGTACTTCTGCTTTATACTTGTTTAGCTTCTTAAATAATTTTTACAGAAATGAACATTTAGTTTTTTATAAATGTTTATTTATAATGATCATAACTGTTATGCTTAATGATCATGTTTCATTTACAGAATGTTGTTGAAATATGACTGTGCAAATGTTGATTGGTTGAATGATTTGTATAAAATCAAAGAGATGTGGTGTCCAGCTTTTTCAAAGAAATTTTGGTCAGGAGGTGTGCTTTCATCTCAACGTAGTGAGACAACTAACAAATCAGTTTCTCAAAGGCTTAACAAGACACAAGGTCTATGTGATTTCTATCAAGTGTTTCTCGATGTGGTTCAAGTGGAGAAGCAAAGAAAAAAGGAGAGATTATAATACAATCAGAGGTAATCGTCATTTGGCCTTTGCATACATTGGGATTCTTGTTCATGCTAGATCATTGTATACTATTCAAGCTCATGTGCTTTTTGAGGAAGAGTTCATTAAGGGTACTGCTTGTGATCATAAGGATGCTGGTGTGAATTTTCCTGAATATTATTATCATTTGTGGAGACCTGGGAAGGATATGATCAAGCACGAGGTTGTTTTTAATAAAGAAACACATGCAATATGTTGTACATGCATGTTGTTTAGTGAAATGGGTTTGTTTTGTTGTCATGCTCTTCGAATTTATCATATGAATTGTGTTCATAAGATTCCAGATGACTATATATGTAAGAGGTGGGCTAAGGTTGTTATGTGTAGTCATGGCCTTGATGAACCTACAATGAAAACCAATGTAGTATCTACAAGTGTTTGGAGGACACAAACACTAAGGAAATTTGTTAAGTTGGTAACAAGTTGTCAACACTCTTTGAATGCTAGAGCAGAGGTTGAATGTTATTTCAATCTTTTAAAAGAAAAGACTGAGAGTGTTACTGGTACTATTGATTTTAATGAACCAGTTGAAGGTATTGAAATTGTTGATCATGAAGTTAAGAATCCGGCAAAATCAAGACCTATTGGAGAGAGGAATTATAGGCCTAAGAGTAATTTAGAGAAGGCTTATAACAAAGCCAGGGGTCAGTGGTTGAAGAAAAAGTCAGTATACACTCCTTATAAAAGATCTAAAGGTCAAGCAGTAGTTCAGGTAATAATGCACATTTATGTTTTTGTTATTGATCATTTATGTTCAAGAATTGAACATTTTTGTTTTGCCTTAGGAATTGGACGAGAATGGGTGTCCTATATCTTATGCTAATTCTTTGGCTGATCCTAATGAGTTAATTGTGATTGAAGATCCAAGTGCTCAGGTAAAAACTTATTTTCTTTTTTATTTTATCTGTTTTTATCAAATTCTTTAGAATATAAAACATTTTTACTTTTAATTTTTTTTCAAGGTTTGTAATAAAAAAACTGCCATTGTAGAAAATATCCCTTCAGATGATAGTGTTTCAAATGACTTTGAACAGGTATTATGTAAATGATTATGTATGTAATTGTAGTTGTTCATTTTAGTAGTTTAAGTTGTGATTATAATGTTTTTATAATTTTCATTTTATTATAGGAATATGGATATAGCTCTATGCAATCAAACGTTACTGTTGATCCAGACATATTTTCTATTGTTAAGGTGAAATATTAATCATCTACCTTTTAATTTTGTATAAGGTCATTATGAATTTTGAATTTGATCATTAATTATTTTAATTTTGATCATTAGGGTAAAACAGCTGCAATTGCTCATGATGTTGATAATTTTCCAACAAGTTCTCAATTGCCACCAAAGAAACCAAGAAATGTACCATTTCCCACAGTTGTGCATGCTCAAATCAATGCTCAAGCTCCTTCTAAAGTTTCTAGCATTGTTCAAAATCCTCCAAAAGCTCCAAGAAATGTTCAAGTTCGTTCTAGTGTTCCGAAGAAAGTTCAAGCTCCTTCTAATGTTCCAAGAAGTACTCAAGGCTGTTTTCGGTATGTTCAAGTTGATTCTAGTATTTCAAGAAATGTGCATGATGTTCCTAATGTTCCAAGAAGTACTCAAGGAAATTCAAGGAATGTGCAAGTTTCTCCTAGTGTTTCAAGGAATGTTCTACTTTCTCCTAGTGTTTCAATGAATTTTCAAGGATCTCCTACTGTTTCAAGAAGTACTCAAGGAGGTTCTCCACAGATTTCAACCAAATATGATAGGTTATTAGCGTTTTTTGATACTAGTGTGGCTAAGAGATTGGCTACAAATGGTAAATAAGAGAGTAAATCAATATGCAATTATGTTTTGGTGTTTAACTATCAACATTTTTAGTTGTCTCAACTTTATAGAGATTCAAGTGCTTTAAGTTTTTTATATTTTGATTTATTAAGTAATTTGAATTTTTTTTTCAAACTATTCTTAAATGTTCTATAAATGATTATTTTTGCTTTTGGAAGTGATCATATACTATTTTAAATAGTAAGAACCATTATTAAATTGGAATAATTATATTAGATGATTTAAAACTGGCAATTATAATGTAACACTTTACTATTTGTAAATATTAAAAATATAATAAATTTTGTCTTTACTTGAACAACGACAAAAACTTATGTCCATACAAATACTGAAAGCAAGTATGATCATATATATGTCTATATATAAACATATTGTATTAAGCTTGTGCAAATCTTCTTGCTGCTCTTCTATTGTTCTGTGACTGCCTGTTTCCTTCATTCAGCATTAGTTCAGCAGTGTATTGTACTCTGAGCTTTCTGATTTGGTTCACCTGTTCCAAGAAAATAATTTATTATAAACATGAACATTAATGGGATATAAATGATTATTATGTATTATAAAGTGATCATGAAGTATATTTTTTTGTTTTGTTGAAATTTACTTACATTGTTTGGTTTTAGGTCACAAACCCATTCTTTATTGGGGTCAGCAGTGAAAGTTTCCATATGTTTCATAATGTAAACTCCACAGTTGGTGTAATCTTCGTTGCTCCTCCACTTCATTTTTTGCAAAACCACCTTATATTTCTCAATAGAATCTGCATCTTCATACCCCAACCCTTTCAAATATTCTGCATATCCTTTTAACTGCAACATATACAGAAAAAAAAAATTCAAAGGATCATATTAATATTGATCATTTTAATTTTCAATATTGATCATTTTGTATAAACAAATTGATCATTTATATATCTATTAAACAATATACTTACCACCAATTGGGGTTGGTTTTCATACTTTGTTGCAATTGTTTGATGTTTTGGCAGTTTCCTGTTGTCAATTATATGCATTGTCTCATTGATATGATCAATGCATAGAAGATAGAAATGTGCATATATGGCCACTGGAAAAAAAATCTGTACATAGTACACAATATTATTATATATACACATTAATGTAAATGAACATATTATAATTCCATATTGTTCATTAATATTTGTTGATATCCAACTGCACTCTTGATTTTGTATAACCTCAATTCATTTGTTATTCTTTCTTTGAAGTATGCAATTCTAAGCTCCATTGATGATCCTTCAGGACACACTGTATTTGCATACATAATTTGCTGCAAATAATGCACAAGGATCATTTTAATATTCATAATGATCATCTAGTATAAGTGAATTGATCATTTTAGTACACCAATGTATACATGTGTAATTTCAATAAAGACTTACATGTGGAAATGTTGAAAAGTATAACTTGTTCTTTGACCTTTTTTGATTCAGAAGTACTGCCCATGAATCGATCACATTGTTAACTACTAATGTATCCCCTTCAAGAGTTTTCATCTCTTCCCTATTGATCGAATTCACTCCATCATAGTATAGTAGCTCACTGCAAAATATCAATTTTTTAAATTTTATGAGTTTACAACAAACATAATGTTAAAGTTTTAATGAAGTAAGTGATGTATACCTTTGATCTTTTCCACTATAAGCATAGTCTGTTACAAGTTTGTTCATTGTGTCTTCATCTTTGAACAAATCCTTGTACTTGACCATGTATGGAGATCGGAAAGCAAGAGGAACATTTGGGATTTCCCTTTGTGGCCTAGTTAATGTGACCATATATTAATACAAATATGAATTTTTTTAATAATGAACAAATAATTTATATAAAGAACAAATAGTAATACCTTATCTCTTTTTCCTTTGCAATCTCAGTTTTTGCCTTCTCAGCTTCTCTTGATTTTTTTCTTTCCAAAGTCTTTCTCTGTCACTGAATAAATATTGAATTATGAATGATCATTTAGTATATTGATAATGAAAATTATAAATCTATACACATGTAAAGACCATTTACCTTTGTCCTGTTGTGTTTTTGGAAATTTGAATCTTCTCTGTTTCAATTTCTTTTGAATCCTTTTTTGTCTCACTGAATATAAATATAGTATAAATGATTATTCAGTTTAATGAAAAAAAACATGTATATGTGGAATAATCATTTACCTTTCCTTCACATTTGAAGCATATATCTGTTTCTTCTTGTCTTCTCTGAAATATTAATCATGGTTAGTAATGAAGAGTAATTAATATAAAAAAAACATTATTCTCCTTTTTTGAACAATAAACACTTAAAATATTACTAAGACATTTAAATTAAAATACATAATTTACATATCTTAAATTGTGCATTCCTACCCTAAAGCAAAGTATTCCCTTCTGATTTTATAATACATATCCATTACTAACTTCATAAACAAAAACTATCCAAAATAATTACACTTTATAACCAAATTTATTCTACATGTCCATTCAAAATTATATATTTTCTAACAAGATAGGTCTTCCATGTTTACCCCATGCTTCCTCCTTTCTTGTTTGATTTATCAAGGATATCTTCCATACTTGAACATGCTGGAGATTTCAAGATTGTAGAAATATCTCCAGCAGCTTCCCTATTTTCAGTTGGTGTCTTGGGATCACCAACTTTTGAATCAGATGCTGCAAACAAAATACATGAAAAAAATTTAATATAACTAGAAATGAACATTATACTTAATAATTTGATCATTTATTTGTAATATGTGAACATTGTACCACTCTTTGAATTTCCTTCAACATTTTCTTCTAATGCTTCAGATTTTGAACCTTCACCTTTGTTTAATGCTTTTTGTATTAATTTGCATTCACACATATATAGACTTAGTATCATTAAAGAAGAATATCTTACAATCACAAATGTTCATTTAATACTATATAAGTGAACTTTTTACCTTTTTTTGAATTTCCTCCATCTTGTGGTTCTTCAGAATTTGAACCTCCAACTCTTTTTGTTGATTTAAAATATATGAAATTGTTAATGTAAACGAACATTTGTTATTCTGAATATATAATTTTTTGAATATTTAGACTAAACAAACTTATTATTTTATAAATGAACATTATACTTTTCATAATTGTACATAGATATTAAAGCTTTACCCTCTTCTGGCTTAGAAGAAACATTTGCATCAGTTGTTGTTGAAGTTGTGGCTGCAACATTAATCTGTGCTTCTGTGTTCAAATAAATTAAATTTTAGTTCTTTAATTATATTATACTCTTTAAGTAAGGATATTCAAATTAATGACAGTTTTTAATTAAGCATATTTACCAGTTGTTGGAGTTGGGGGAGTTAAGTTGCAACCCAAACTGAATGCCTTCCTTATATCATATTCCTTCTCATTTCCTATTTTCTTTTTTTCTGCTTCACTTGCCTCCATCAGTTCCTTCTCAATTTGAGCTATGGCATTCAAAAAATTCTCTGATCCAAATATTTTTTCATCTTGGCTGAGAATTGATGGTTCTCTTGCCATCTTTCCCAACACTTCATCTACCTTCTTGACCAACTGATTCCCAGGGAAGAGCTCTTTTGCCTTAACCAATTTGGTAGAAAGTCTTGCCAAAGATGCACCAACTTCTTGTACCATTGATGCAAATTCATTCATAAAGACCTGTCATTTATAGAACATATAAAAAAAATCATATAAGACATTATGTGTTTTGATATTGAACATTTCATAATTTATAAATGATCATTTTGTACCTTAGGATTGTCTTCAGGCTTTTCTTCTATTCTTGGAAGGACTTTTCCATATCCATAGTTCAAATCATTTTCTGTTTTTATCCTTTCAAGTGACATATCCCTTTTCCAACAAGAAATTATTGGAATTGTTCTTGGTTGTTTTTTGTTCAATCTTTGAACTCTGTCAAAGTAGAACAACTGCACCAAAACCCATTACTATAAATGAACATATAATATAATACAAATGAACAATTAATATAAAAGATTAAAATTTTAGACGAAATCGATATTTAACATTTTGTTAATGAACATTCATTGTTACTAAAATGAACATTTTATAATTTACTATTGTGTGTTGTAAACTTACCATCAGAAATTGCAGTGGTCCATTGTAGAATCCTTTTCCTCCACTCTTTCTCCATGTCACATGGCAACTGATGAGAGAGTCAAACACGTACTGACACCAATTCAAGTTTTTTATTTTTTCTTTGTCCATCATAGAAAACAGAAACTTGAAATGGCATTGGTTGTTTGAAATACACTTCATCAAACAATTCACAGCAACTACCAAAAAGTTGGTGAGAAAATCTTCTTCTGCTGGCCTTTGGTTTTTGAATTTATCACTTGTATATTGAGCAATAATTTGGTTTACAGATGGTGTTTTGCCTTGCCATTTTGACCTCCAATTTTTTATAAATACACCAAAATCTTCACTTGCTCTGTCTGATTTGGCTTCAACAATGGGAATGTCTCCCATTGGCAAACCATATACAATTCTCACATCCTCCACCTCAATTTCAATTTTCTCACCTTTAGGCAGCTCAAAACTACAACTACTGACTTCAAAGCTATCTAAAACCCAATGGTTGAATTGTTTGTCAAGCTGAGGAAGTTCTATATCCAACAACGGCCCCAGTCCTATTTCATGCACTAATTTCTTCTGTGTATCACTCATTTTCTTAACCCAATGCATGAATTTGACATGGCCTCCTCTTGTCGAACTTCCAACTTCCTCTTCATTCTTTTCTTCCTCCTCTTCTTTTTTTTTAGCCACTGAAAATTTAGTTTTCCTCTTCACAATCTTTTTTATTGGTTCCCTCTCATATAGAACCATTCTTTTTTCTTCAGCTTTTGGTTTTTTCAATGTTGTTTTCTTTTCTTGAACTACTTCCACCTCCTCACTTTCTTCATCTTCTTCTTTTTCAGCATCAAAAGCTGGATCCTCACTGTCTGATCCACTATCAGTATTACTTTTATCATCTTCTTCATTTTCCTCCTTTGATTGTTCTTCAATGATTTTTGTTTTCTTCAAAGGGCCTTTAGCTGATGCAGAAGGCCTCTTCTGGCCACCTAAACATTTGATCAATTATAATATGTAAAATGAACATATATATATGAAAGTGTAAATTGCTAGTTTGTATTTGAACATTTAACTTTATTAATATGTACATTACCTTTTTGTTCTACTTTTTTAAGAATTTTCTTTTCTGCAGGAGCAGAACTTGTTGCAGGGACTTCTTCTTGTTCTTCATCCTCTGATGGTTCATCATAAGGCACTTGATCTATGACTTTTCTTTTTTTTGCAGGACCTTTGGCTGATGCAGCAGGTCTTTTCTGACCACCTAATTATTTGATCAATTACATTAAGTAAAATAAACATTTTAAAAGTGTAAGATTGTAATTGAACATTTATTGTTTTAGATATGTTCTTTCACCTTTTTGGCCTGCTTTCCCAATAACTGCAGCCCTTGTACGCCCTGTTTTCTCAGCAGGTTTCTTTGCAACTGCAGTTGCAGCCCTTGGACGCCCAGGTTTTTTGGGTGTTGTTGCTGCTGGTAGGTTTTCAGCAATTGTTGCAGCAGCTGTTGCTATAGCTGATATGCCAGGCAACTTAACATCTGCAAATAAACATTGTTATATAAATATTAATATAGTTGTAATATTTTATTTAATATGATCATTGTTATATTAGAAATTGTACATTTTATTTACCTCGTGATTTACTTCTTGTTCTTTTTGCTGGTGATTGTTCATCTTCCTGTTTTTTCTAATTTTCTTCCAATTATTTTTTCTTTTGATTTTTCCTTGCAACCATTTTCCTTCTTGGTTGCTTTGAATTTTGTGAAGATTCTTCACTCTTTTGAGACAAATTTAACTCTTCAACAGGTTTTATACCTCTCAATATTCTTGTCAACTCCTCATCCCTTTGCAATTCTTCTTGTCTTTCCAATTCTTCTTCTGTTTCATCCTCAATCTCAATTTCTTCACCACCTATACATTTAGATCATTTACAAATTGGTAAATGAACATTTTCAGTATAAGTGTTATTGATTAAAAAAATTTAATATTTAACTTAACAATTATGTACATTACCTAATAGGATTTTTTTAATTTCAGCAGGGGCCTTCTGTTGTGCATTTGCAGAACTTGCTGCATGGGATTTTTCTGCAGCAGAGGACTTTTCAGTAGTTGTAGCTGGGGCCATTTCAGCAGCAGTGGCTTTTCCAGCAGTATCAACAGTTGTAGCAGGGGCCTTTTTAGCAGCAATGACCTTGCTAACAGGAGCAGTTTTCCAGTTTTTTGTCAGTTTTTTTAGTATTCCTTGAGTTGACACTTTTAATTTTTTCCTGGCATCAGATAATTTATGATCAATAATTTGTAAATGTGGAATAGAAACATTTAATAAGTTATATATGTTCATACTTTTGCATTATGTATGAATGTGTTTCTTCAACTGCTGCTGGAGGCTCATCCTCTTTTGGAGGCTCTTCCTCTGCTGGAGGCTCATCCTCTGCTATAGCCTTCACTTGTTGTGTAGGCTGATCCTTTTCTGTAGCCTCTTTTGGAGGCTTATCTTCAGTTGATTGATTTCTGAAAATTAAAAATTGAAAATGATTAAAAATGTTTATCAACTAATATGAAAATGAACATTAGTTGATTTCTGAAAATACCCTGCTGCATCCTTTTTTGGTTGTAGTTGTTCAACCTCTCTTGTGTCTTTCTTAGGTGATTGATTTCTGAAAATCAATTAATTTCAAATAATTAAAAATGTTTATTAAGTAATATGAAAATGAACATTATGGGAATCAAATACCTTGTATTCACTAATTCTGATCCAGCCTTTTCTTGTTGTAGGTGATCAGTTTTTGCTTCCTCTTCAGTTGTTTTTTTTTTTTCTGAGAATGCAAATCATTAGATTATGTATGACAACTAAGAAATAAATGAACATTAAACACATTGAGGTAGAATATACCCTTGATTTGTTGATGCATCATCTATTTTTGAAGTTTCCTTCTCTTGTTCACTGAAATTTTTCGAATGTTAATACATAAAAGTATGATTATGTAACTGTATAAAAATTAATTATTGAATTTTTATTAAGTATTTATACCTTATTGATTGATTTTTCTCTGGCCTTGATCTTGACATTATAAATTTCACTTTCAACTTTTTTGGTTCACTAAAATTTTACAAATTATTTCAATTATGAGATTAAGTATTGAAGTAAATGATTGTACATTAAATATTACATATATGAATATTTGTAAGTATATCAACTTACTTGGGATGTAGGTTGTCTCCTAATAAATAGGGTTCCCACTTTTTTATAACTTCATTTCTATCCAATTTGTTGTCTATTTCAGAACATTCTTTTCTCTCATGAATTATAGGATAAGGATTGAACATTCCATTGTCAAATTGCATCAAGTGTATCACTTTAAATGGTACATCACTACAATGTAAATTAATATTGTAAATCATAAAAATTGACATGATGTTTCTATGTTAGACAAATGTACAGAATAGTTCATATAAATGATCAATATAGTTGTAGCAATGAACATTTGTATACACATATATGGATATATATAACATAATATGAATTTTGACAATATAGTGTTTTGTAAATGTTCATTTTACTACACAGATGAATAAAGTATATGTTTTCTATTTGTACAAAATGGAATTTAGAAATGAACAATTAATATGTCAGTAAATGTATACACATAAATTTAGAAATGAACAATTTAGAAACAAACATAAATTGCATGTTGTACACATAATATACAAATTTGAACATATGTATACATATATATGCACACATATATGCACACAATCCAATTTGAACATATACTGTTTTGTATTTGTTCATTATATTTCACAATACTATACTTTATATTTTTTTTGGTTGATCATTTAATCAAAATTATGCACACATTCCAATATTAACAGTAACTTGTTTAAATTTTTATTATCGTCTCAGAAATAGAGGAAAATTAAGTTTATTTTGAAATTAAACAGTAACTTGTTTAAATATGAGCAAATTTAAATAAATTTATGCTTATAATTCCAAAATAAATAGTAATACTTACTTTGATTGTTCTGGAACTCCAGTATTTTCAATTTTTTTCCTGAAGCATCATCAAAAAGAAAAAATACCAAAAAATTAGGGTTTTGTTTCGCAATTTTCAATTAATTTTACACTAAACATGTAAAACATACTTACTCATTAGATTTTTGGTTTGTTGTTGTTGAAATTTGTCGAGATTGTGCAATTTCGTCTCTTATGTCGGACATTTTAGACAATTTTACTTGCTAATTGCATGTACGAAAATGGAGTAGAGAGAGAAAATGGAGGTTGAGTGAGAAATTAGAGAAAGAGGATGAGAAAGAAAAATGTGATTATTTGAAAAGTTTTTTTTTTTTTAATTGTATATATATATGGGTGGGGTAGTGGGAAGTTACTGGCAGTTTTAGAGGGAAGTTACTGGAAGTTAGTGGTACGGCGTCGTTTAGGGGGGGTGTAGGGATAAATGGCTAACCTAGAGTCTAGCCATAAATAATACAATCTTGTTGGCCTTTGGTATTATTTTGGGCATCTACTCTTCATGTTTTTGATAATACATAAATCTGGTAATGGACCTGAAGCCTTTTAATTAATTTGGGCCCATGAAGATGTTGATATTATATAAATGGCCGACTTGACCTGAAGCCTTACAAAAGGTGGTACAACAATATTGTACTGAAGTCCATGATTCTTTTACTAGCCTTTAAGTGACTAATATTAAAGTTTTTTTTTTCTCAAAAAAATACATTGCTTACACAAACGATCTAGCTAACTCTTAAACTCAATAGGCTTAAAGATTACTACATTGGGATGATTGCTAGACCT